TCCCCTCCTCTCCTTTCCCCTCCCCTCCCCTCCCCTCTGCTCTTCCCCTCCTCTTCCCTTTCCTTCTCTTCTGTATTTCATCTTTTTTTCTTTTACAACCTCCCATCTTGCCTTTGTATCTTTTTAGTGATCCCCTTATATTGCTTTTCCAGTAAAGCCATATTTCTCCACAGATCACTATGGTTTTATCCCCACTTCCTATTTCCTATGACTATTTCAACCGCTGAATCTGTGACACATTAACTGTTGCAGTAAATCCAATCTGTATACATGTTTCAATCTTTGTATGACAGCTCTCCTACTTGTAATATTGTTTACCAGCTTTCTTTTTGAAATTCTTCTTTGTATGATTTTTCTGGCAACACTTGCTCTTGTTCTCTGGCCTTCATATCCCATGGATAAGAACCCCATTCGGTCACAGGATTTTAACTATATCTAATACTAATCCTCCAATGTCTAAATTTTCAACACTATTTCTTTCCAGATCTTTGTAGCTAAAGGATAAGTAAAAACAAACAAAACAAAACAACAACAAACCCACACTGCTGGAGTTGCAACTTAGTGGCAGAATACTTGCTTGGCATGTAAGAGACTCTGGGTATCCCACAGCATTTCAAACTTAGACTGTCCCCAGATGAACTCCTCAGCTTCTTCCTGCCTGCAGATCCACTCAGTCCTTTCCTTCCTACCTTGACACACAGGACTACCTTCTACTTCTTTCCTCAGGCCAGAAACTGTAAGCAGTCACTGATTGAGTCTTGTCCCTTTTTCCATAACATTTCTTAAACATTTCTTACTTTGTGACTGTTAGTATTCTGTGTCATTGCTTTGTGGCCGGCCTGGCTTGCGGCATCCTGCAGCAGGCCCTCAGTGTGTCTGCAGAAGTGACTGAGGCCAGGCCAGCTGGCAGGTGCCCTCCAATGACATTTTCTCCCAAGGGTCACCATTACTTCCAATCTTGAAAAATTTAGTAACTGGTATCATGTAGTAAATTGTATATGACATTTAAATTAATCCATAGGGCTGGAGAGATAGCTCAGTAGAATTAGCCCCTGCCTGGCAAATGTAGATCCTGAGTTCAATCCCTGGTACCTCAAAAAGAATAATTAATTAATCCTTAAATTGTTTAAATAAAAATGAAATAGGAATAGATTAAGATAACCAAGATTAAACAGTCAAAAGAAGTAAGAAATCCAGAACTTAAACAAAAGACATTCTGACTGGAAAATGCTAACTTGTGCTGTCTGTTATGAAGTAATCCAGTGGCAGCCTTTGTGCCCTGGTTCCTAACTTGTTTATTTCTTGATGTAGGCTGAACCATAAGCTCAAAAGCTCACTAGCACCAAACTCAATTTTTTATACATTGAGTTATTTTAAAATACCTAGTTGATTGGTGTTCCCACAGGGTCGCTATAGTTTCCAGGTTGAGCAGAGATTTAGGGAACAAGAAACAAAGGAAGGGGCTGGTGAGATGGCTCAGTGGTCTAAAGTACCTACTTAGAACAAGCTCAGCAAAGCATCAGGGACCGCGGTTCAATCCCCCAGCACCACATGCCAGCCAGCCCCGCCCCCTGGTGGGCTGAGCTGGCCACACACACACACACACACACATAAATAAATAAATAAATTTTTTAAAAAAATATAATGAAAAAAATAAAAAAAGAAAGAAAGAAAGGAAACTGCCAGCAAAGCTGAACACTGGAAATGGTGGCAGCTGCACAGGTCAAGAGAGGTCAGCTCTGAGGGCTGGGAGAGAGCTCCGTGGTCTAAGCAACTGGCCACGGAAACAAGGCGTGGTGACGAATGCCTATAATCCCAGCGCGGGGGAGGCTGAGACAAGAGCATCACTATGAGTTCAAGCTGTGTAGCAAGACCCTGTAACAAACAAACAAATAAATGAAATTATTAGAAAACATAGCTCAGTTCCTGAAACTATTTTAGAAATAGAGCTACCAGTTTCTGCTCAGAGGTTATGAGTGGCACACAGAAGAAGAAGAGGGGCTTAGGGTGGGCCAGGTGTTTTCAGAACTGAGCACCTAGAAGGGTGGAGTACCCCTTAACTGCGATTAGGAAAACTTTAGGAGACATCTTAGCATTAACCATTTCTCAAGCTTAACCATTCTCCTCAAGAAATGGAAAGTATCATTATATATGCTTTTAAAAATACTGTATATTGATTCCTGGAGGAAAAAAAATGATCTGAGCTAAGCCATTTCATTTCAAATTGTACAAGGAAATGATGACAAGCCAGATGGATCACTGTGTTCTAGATACTCATGTGGTTTAAAGAATAAATAGTGCAAGTCCAACTGTACCCGTAATACATGAGTCACAAACAGCAACTGATGGAGGCTTGCAAAAACACATGGAAATTGCCGGAGTGGGTCTTCAGATTTACTTTTGAAAACTCTTATTTTTCTTTAGTTTTATTTTATAAGTGTTCTTTTTCCTTCTTTTTCTATTTAGCTTAATGCTAGTATTAAATTTTTCTTGCTTACTTTGTAAGCCATTGGGTTTCCAAGGCATTGTTTTATCCTGAATTTCAAGTACAATTACTGGAGCACTGTGAATTAAAGCTCGCCCCAAACCCACTGCGTTTTATTTCAGTCAACCTCTTCCTATTAGCTGTGTAAAAACCAGATCCACTGCAAAGCTGGACTGGTTTTACACAGGCACACAGGGCAGTCTCTTACTGTAGTGCGTGGAGTGGGTGCTTGTCCCCTTATTTGCCTGAGCAACATACACATCCTGATTTAAAAATAGAAAGCTTTGGGATGAGGAAAGTCAAATATTTAGGTCACCCTAAAAACTGCACACAGTGTAATGTCAGAACACCTGAGAACTATGCTGTAGAACTGGCAAACAGTGATTCTGGGCAAACGACAATCTTTCCGAGGCTGGTATCTTCAGCTGTCACACGTCTTCATAAAATTTTTGGCATTTGCTTTCTTCCTTCTATCTTCAGTTCCACTCCTCTCAGATCTCATTTCTTTTTCCTTCCTTCATTTCTTCCTGTAACTCAGGCATCATAGAACTTGAGATTGTGAATTAAAACGTCTCCAATAAAATAATGAAAAAATAGGCAAAAAGCCACGAGTACAAATATATACAATTACAAATGCCTACAACAGTCTGTAAGGCACTGAAGATGACATCCTTAGTGTAGGGCAGCACATCTTGATTCGAATTAAGGCACCCAAGCCGTGCTGTCAGGTAGATGGCATCCAGCCCCCTGTTCCACAGAGGTGCTCACAGCCTTCCCTCTACGTCTCTCCACCACATGAACATATGACATAGGCTTGTCCACCCGGAATACGGCCTTTTCAAAGACTCCCCGCTCTTTACACTCACATTGACCTTTCTGCACTCAGCATCATTATCAGTAAATGCTGAGCCAAAGCGTTAGTCAGTGTAGTGCTGTAAGAATAGAACAATGTGATGTGTGCGTGTGTTATATTTATTTTCCAGCACTGCAAAAGCAATGTTAATTCAAGCTCGGATGCCCAAAGCAGCTCAAATTCTTCGTGGATCAGAAGTCTTGGCGTAGTTTACGTGAGTCTCCTGCTCAGGGTCTCACAAGCCTACCGTCAAGATGTTCCCTAGACTTCCTTCTTCATTTACAGATCAGCAGACTTTCCAGTTTGGTACAAATTTTAGGAAACATCATCTTGTGTATTTATGACTACGTTCCCTGTTTCCTTTCTCACTACTGGCTGGGGACCAACCTCAGTTTCTGGATGCTACCAGTATTTCCTTACAATGTTCCCCAGTATGGTGTTTGCAGCATAGATCTTTGCTTTCTCCAGGCAAGGAAGGCTGTCTACCGAGGTTTCCTGCTATTCTTAAGAGCTTACCTCATCGAGTCAAATTCACTAAGGAGAATCCTCACTTGTGAATCTAACCAGTCAACTGCTTAGAGAACTAAGAATGAAAGTAACAGCTTGCGAAATTAAGGTTTTGCTCCCTCTCAATAGGTCAGAGTAGTACAAGGCTTGGTCACTGGGGCCCATTGCAGGTTCTGCTTCTTTTATGTGATATAATGTAATGCCCACTCCCCTCCAATAGAACAATTAAAACAAGATTTTTTTCAAGAAGTGCTAATTGGTATATTCTGTTTCCCACATCAGAATCTTTTTTTTTGTGATGGGAAAATAAATTTCTTTTTAAATTATTTTAATTCACAAATAAAAGACACTTTAAAAGGGGAGGAAAAATCCAAAAGCACAAAGCACAGAGGCAAACTTTTACATCATGAGCTTCTCCACCCCTAAGGTGTCAAGAAGAAAAGTACTCTACCAAAGTGGTCAGCCACCCACAGTGATGTTGTTAATGGAGTTGTGGATCAGCTTCACAAAGAAGCCGATGAAGCCCGTGATCACGAATCCTATTGCTGTGGCCATGGCAATCTTCCGGAATTCTTTCCTGCCTGGTTTGGAGCATCTTTTCACCAGCCAGACGGAGTCCTTTACAAACTGCTGACTCAGCTCCACAAACCGCACTATGAGATCCCTGGCTGCCCAAGGTCCCGACAGTCCAGAGGGACATGCAACCTCCCACATCAGAATCTTTCTACTATTGTAAAATGATGTTATCTCAAGGATTTCTCAAATTCATAATTTTTTTCTTTCATTCATCTCTTTATCAGTGACCTAGCAAATACTTGATGACTTTCCATGCTATCTAGCACCATGGGAAATACTGTGATTAGTAACAGAGTAGGTTGAGACACAAAATCAAACAATATTCTGTATACAAGAAATACAGTTAACACAAAAAGAAATTCGTAGACTGAAAGTCAAAGAATGGGAAAAAATACCCAATGCAACAGGAAACCAGAGAAAAGCAAACATAGCTATTCTGTTTACAGACAATGTGAACTTCAAGCCAAGAATGATAAAAAGAGATAAAGAAGACCATTACATAGTCGTTAGAAGAAAACTTTAAGAGGAAGAAGACAACAATCATAAATATATATGCACCACTTATAGAAGCACTCAATTACATGACGAATATTAATAGACATTAAAAAACAAATAAGCAATAACACAATTCTAATGGGGAATCTTAACATCCCATTGTCACAAAGAGATGGATCGACTAGACCAAAACCAGCAAAGAAGTAACAGAACTGAACCTGTGAACTTGTGAACAACTGGACTTAGCAGATCTTTACAAAGTGCTCCACCTAACAATATCAGAATACTCATTATTGGGCTGGCTAAATAACTCAGCATATTAAAGCACCTGCAAGCAGGCTCAGGGGCTGGGGTTCAATCCCCAAGCCTGCCGTGCCACCCCACCCCCCGCCAGGGTGCGCTGAGATAACAATGAGACTGGGCATGGTGTCACAAGCCTGTAATCCCAGCGCTTGGGAGTCTGTAAACAAGTGGATCACTACAAGTCCGATTTAGTAGTGAAACCCTGAACACCCTATAGACCCTTCCCTGAAATACAAAAAACAAAACAAAACAAAACACATTCTTCTCAGTTGTACATGGAATGTCCTGTTAAATAGACCTAATACAAGCCCAAAGAATATGTTTAAGTAAGGGCAAAATAATTGAAATTATCTCATGCATGTTATCTTATCATAATGCAATGAAATGGGACATTATTGACAAAAGAAACTGTAAAAAGTACTTAACCATATGAAAATTAAATAACATCCTCCTGAACAACCGATGGGTCACAGATAAAATTAAAGAAAAATTAAAACAATATCTACTCTAAAATGCAAATACAACTTACCAGAATCTGTGGGATGCAATGAAAGCAGTCTAAGAGGGAAATTTATAGCAGTAAATACTTACAACAGGAAAATCAAATGAACAGAAATAAACAACCTAATGCTACACATCAAGCTTATAGAAAAAGAAGAGTAAGTCAAGCCCAAAGCTCCTACAAGGAAGGAAATTGTAAATTTCAGAACACAAATTAACATAATTGAGACTAAGAAAACCATACAAAAAAATTAATGAGTTCAAAGAGATGGTTCTTTGAAAGAATAAATAAAATTCCCCCAGGCAACCTTATCAAAGAAGAAAGAAAGAAAGAAAGAAAGAAAGAAAGAAAGAAAGAAAGAAAGAAAGAAAGAAAGAAAGAAAGACCCAAATTCATGCTTTAAGGAATAAAAAGGATAAAATCACTACAGAGTCTGTGGAAATTCAGAAGACAATCAATACTTAGCTTGAAAAGCTTTACTTGCATAGGATGGAAAAGTCAGAAGAAATGGACAGATTCCTTTAAACATATGAACAAAGATGATTCAAGAAGATATAAAAAATTTGAATAACTCAACATCAGTTAATGAAATTGAAAACATAATGAACAATTTTCCAACAAACAAAATCCCAGGGGCAGGGATATAGCTCAACAGCATAAGCACCTGCCTGGCAAGTGCAAGGTCCTGAGTTCAATCCCTGGTACCGCCAAAAAAAAAAGAAAAAGAAAAAAAAAAAGCCCAGGTCCTGATGCATTCATAGCTGAATTTTACAAGAAATTTAGAGAAGGATTTAATGCCAATACTTCTCAAATTTTAACGAAACTAAAATGGAAGCAATACTACTTAACTCATTCCTGAAGGCCTGTGTTGCCGTAAGACTAAAACCAGGGAAAGATGCAACCAAAAAAAGAACTATAGTCTAATCTCCCCAATGAATATAGATGCAAAAATCCTTAATAAGGTACTAACAAACAGAATGTAGCAAATCATCAAGAAGATTATATACCACTGCCAGGTGGGATTCATCCCAGGGATGCAAGGATGGTTCAATATATGCAAATCAATAAATGTAATACACAATATCCACAGAGCCAAAGACAAAAAACATATGATCCTCTCAATAGATGCAGAAAAAGCTTTTCACAAAGTCCAACAGTCATTCCTGATGAAAAAACCTACAGAAAAATTGGAATAGATGGTCTTTACCTTATTTTGATAAAAGCCAGCTATGACAAAACCAATAACTAGCATTGTACTAAATGGGCAAAAACTTAAAGCTTTCAATCTAAAATCAGGAATAAGACAAGGATGTTCACTCTCATCACTCTTTTTCAACATAGTTCTAGAAACATTAATGAGATCAATTACACAAGAGAGACAAATAAAAGGTATACAATAGGAAAGGAAGAAGTGAAAATATCATTATTTGCAGATGACATGATATTTTACATAGAAAACTCCACAAACTTCCCCAAAAGATGTCTAGATTTAATAATCAAATTCAGTAGCACAGTGGGATACAAGGTCAACACTCAAAAAATGAAAAGCATACCTATACACAAGCAATAAACTTGACAAGAGATAAATTAGGGAAACCACAACCTTCACAATAGCATCTCCAGAATGAAATACTTAAGAATCAATTTTAAAAATGGCCATATTGCCAAAACTGATATAAGATTTAATGAAAACACAATCAAAACACCATTAGCATGCCTGACAGATTTAGAGAAATTATTCCTAAAATTCATTTGGAAGCAGAAGAAACCTAGCATAGCAAAGGTGATCCTGCATCAATAAGGCAGGACTTGAAGTCACAGTCCATGACTTGAAGTTATACTACAAAGCTACTGTGACCAAGTAGGCACAGTAGTGGCAGTAAAACAAAACAAAACACAAAACAGACCTAAGGATAAATGGAACAGGTTAGAAGATGGAGCCACAACTACAAATATCCTTAGCTACCTTATCTTTGACAACAGGGCCAAACATGTTCACTGGAAGAAACAGCTTCTTTAATAAATGATATTAGAAAAACTGGATTTCCATATGTCAAAGACTAAAACTAGACCCATATCTATCACCATGCACTAAACTAAAGCCAAAATGCAGCAAAGATCTAGATATTCAGACAGAAACAATGGGGCCGGGGAGATGGCTCCATAGAATGAGTGCTTGCCTGGCAAGCGCAAGGGCCTGAGTTCAGTCCCCAGTTCTGAAAATAAAAAAATAAAAATAAAAATAAACCAGAAATACTACTTCTACTGGAAGAGAAAGTAGGTAGAAATCTCGACTACATAGGTTTATGCAGAGAGTGCGTGAACAAAAACCAATCTGAATATGAAATACTTCAAAGAACAAACAACTAGGATCTCATCAAAGATGTTTGCACATGAATAAAAACAACACCTACACACTGGGAAAAAAAATTATGAAACTGTCCCTCAGACAAAGGACTTCTATCTAGAACATATAAAGAAAGCATTTTTTCTTTTTCTTTCTTTTCTTTTTTTTTTTCCTTTTATTTGCTTGTGCCTGGGATTGAACTTGGGACCTTCTACTTACCAAGCAGGTGCTTAAGCCATGAAGCTATCTCCTCACCCCAAGAATTTTAAAAAATCAGACTCCCAAAATTCAAAGACCCAATTCAAAAGTGATCATCTGAGATGAATACATTTCTCAGATGAAGAAACACACATGGCAAATAAATACATGAAAAAATAATCGACAGCATTGGATATTCAAGAAATGCAAATTAAAACAACACTGAGATTCCACCTCACCACAGAAAGAGTGGCTATCATTTAAAAAAGCAATCCTATAATAATTTCTGGCAGGGCTGTGGAACCCTTCTCCACGGTTGTTGGGAGTGTAAACTGGGACAACCACTGTGGAAATCAATGTGGAGATTTCTAAAAAAACAAACAAACAAACAAACAAAACATGATTAGAGTCCCCTTTCAACCCAGTTATTTCCTTTCTGAGTATTTTCCATAAAATTCGAAAACATCATACCACAGCAACATATATGTACTCATGTTTATAGTAATATAATTTATCATTGTTAAATCTTGGAAACAACTGAAATGCCCATCAACTGGGAAAGAGATAAAAAAAAATATGTGGAGTAGTACTCAGCTATAAAGAAAGATAAACTCAGGCTTTTATAGGTAAATGAACATAACCAGCAACCATACTCATAAGTGAAACAAACCAGACTCACCCGTGTAAACATTTTATTGTCTCCATAGAGTGAGAAATTGTTAGAGTATCCAAAAGGCACAATAGATATTGTGGAAGGGAAAGGAACTGCTCAAAAGGAAAGAACAATTGGGATAGGGGAAAGGAGAAAAGGCAGTAGCATATATTATGTTTCTAATATACATATATATGTATATTAGCTAAGATAATTGTACTTATAATTACTATTATTTAATGAAGGGAGCAGTTAGTGCTTGTGTTGTTTGATGAATTTTGCATACCTGTATCTGGTAATTGGAGCAATTACAATGAAGGTAATATGAAATATAATAACCATTATTAATTGCATATTTTATTGTGAAATGTATCCTTTTTGTTTTACTTTTCTCTTTTAAGAAAGAAACAAAGCTATAATTTTGGCCTTTGTGGTGCTTATAGTTTGTAGCAAAACTTAAACTAGCAGGAAAAACCTCCAACCAGGTAAGGAAAGAAGTAGAATAAAGTAGTTGCTCATTGTGTTGGGAACTTCCAGCTATTGATGTACTTGTAGCAGAGTAATAACATTTTCTAATATTCTATTAGTTGGCTTTCACTCTATTGGTTGTATCTTCTTGTTTTGTGGCCAACTCAGCCCAC